TGTATTCGTGTAGTAAGCGGACGGATTGAATCTCCCTACCCCTATCCCTACGCGAGCCGCCCCCAGTCCCAGCCAAAGCTATGTAAACCCTCTTCGTCCGTCGATTGCCCCGTCAAATGGCCCGTCTGAATATTATCGCCGCCAACTGATCCGTCACCGAGGGTTCAAACCACGGCCATGGAGGCGTCCCCGACTAACGACGACTCTACCGACTCGCCAGAACCCCCGATGCGACGCGTGGCCGCAGGAATGCCGCAGCTGCAACCCCGGGACCGTCGGCGTGAGAAACCTCAGCTGTCGTGTAACTACTGCAAACGTCGAAAGTAGGCACATCCGAAACCACCTACCCAGACCGGCTACATTCCTGATGGCCTTTTCAACAAGGACCACGCTTGTGACCCGGCATTCACTCCCCCATAACCGTCTGGATTCCCTCCTGCCCCACGGGGAGGTGGCTCTGGCTTCTGACGCGTCCTTCGCAGGATACGATGTGATCGCCGGCTTCCATGTACGGTGTGCGTGAGTAAGGGCCTTGAGCTATCGTGCTCCTACACCACTCGCTCGCAGGATCCCAATCACGTAGCCGTCAGCGTCAGCGTCAGCGAACGTTTGCAGCAACTTGAGACATTGGTCCTTTCCTTTATGCAGCATCAGCCACAACCTCAACCGAATTATCCTCCGCAAGAGGTACCAGATGCCTGGCCAACACCCTCGGTGTCTTCGGTCCCATCTATATATATCTCCCACCCACTCGGCCGCGTCGAACAGCCGATACAATGTGGCCAAGCACCCTGAGTCAGCCGAGCACGGGAAAATGCGGGAGCACTCACACGGCGCCAACTACGTCAGCAGCGTCCACTGGGCGGCCGTGCTAGACAGCATTTCCGAGCTCATCGACCAGTGTCAAGAAAAAGAGAAGGAAAAAAAGCCAGTCCCAGAGGACGGCTCCATAGCGCCGCAAATACCTGGCCCGCGTCTGCTGTATGAGCCGGTCAAGGAGACCAAAGCGGAAATATTGGCGTCAATGCCGGCCCGCACCGTGGTAGACCGCATGGTTGCGCGTTACTTTAATGCACTGGGCATAGCACCGGGTACGACTCTGCCTCGAATATACGTAATCGGCGCTAGATGGGGCTGACAGATGGAGCACATAGCTATTCTCCACAGCGCTCAATTTCTTCGAGAGGTACGGCCACCACCAACCAACACCCCTGGTTCCCCTGAGTGGCTAGATGTTGGCTGACGCCAATGTCTTTCAAGTATGAGAGCTTTTGGAAGGATCCGGACGCTACGCCCTTTGTCTGGATTGGCCTTTTGTTCAGCGTCATCTGCTTGGCCGTACAGTTCCAACAGCCAGGCGAAGAAGCCGCCGAATGGTCCTCACTCATGCGCATCCGCCAGTTCCACGACCGAATCGTCCAATGCCTAGTCCTCGGCCAATACACCCGGGGGGGACCCTACGTCGTCGAAACCATGGTAAACTATTGCGCTAGTGAACTCTGCATCACGAAAGACACCGACGTCGGCCCCTGGCTCCCCCTCGGCATCATGGTGCCGCTCGCCGTGAGCCGGGGCTACCACCGGGACCCAGCGGGCTTCCCCAACATCTCCCCCTTCGCCGGTGAGATGCGGCGCCGGGTGTGGGCGGCCGTCGTGCAGATGGACCTCCGCCTCTCCAGCCAGATGGGGCTCCCGCACCTACTGAAATCAACACAGTGCAACACCGCCGAACCACGCAACCTCTTCGACACCGACTTCGACGAGGACACCACCGACCTACCACCCTCACGGCCCGAGACCGAAGTCACCCCTGTCCTCTACTCCCTCGCCAAGAACCGAATCGACAAAATCGGCAGCCCCATCGCGGGACCTCGCCGCCGACGCCCACGACCGCCCCTACCCCGAGATCCTCGCCCTCGACAAAGACCTGCAAACTATCGAGACCTCCCTCCCGCCCATCTTCCGCTGGCAGCCCCTCAGCCAGTCCTTCATGGTGCCCGGCCAGGTGCTCATGTTCCGCTTGTGGCTGCGGCTGGCCGTGCTCCGCCTCGTCATCTGGCTGCACCGCAAGTATCTCGCCCCAGCCTACAGCGCCGCGCCGTACGCGTACTCCCGCGCGGCGTGCGCGCGCGCGGCGCTGGAGATCGCAGAGTTCCAGCTGCTGCTGCACGAGGAGACGCGGCCGGGGGGGCAGCTGCACCAGATGCGCTGGATGCAGTCGTCGCTGATGCAGTCGACGTTTTTGCTGGGCATGAGTGTGGCTTGCTATTGGATGCAGCTGACGAGGACGGCGCTGCCCGGAGCTGATCAGGATATGGAGATGCGAGAGCGGATCCGCGACCGGCTGAGGGATACGTATCCGCTGTGGCTGCGCTGTAGCGCGGTGTCGAGGGATGCGCGGGAGGCTGCGGAGCGACTGCGCCAGCTTCCGGATCTGCAGGGTTTGCTGCCGGATGTGGAGGGCCAGTTGTCGGCACAGGAGAGTCCCGGTTCGGGGGTTCCGGCTTGTTGGGATATCTTCCACGGTACGGGTAGGCATGCGCGCGCCCTGGATGCGGTGTTGGGGGATATGGACCGTTCTAGGAAAACGAATGCTGACTGGGCCCGGGTTTAGAAGGCGAAAACCACGCCTCCTCCATGTTTAGTGGGAATTTGGAGTGGAACAGGGTTTCGTTCCACGAGTAGGACGGGGACGAGAGTGGAAGATCTCTTGCTCCTGGAACAGCTGGGAGGGGTGAAAGGGTCACAGTGCGCGTGTAGTTCCTTAAGCATGGATTTATGTTATTCTTGTGGATGACTCAACGCAGGGGGGGGGGGGGGGGGATATGAGCTCGCTCACCTCGTGGGGGTGCCGCCCCGTCCACTAAATACTACTAAACATAGCAAGGGTGGAAAATACCACTTACGGCTCTTGAAACTTGGCTGCCTGCGACACTTTTGGAATGGGCTGGCTGAAGGTCACAAAAGTACCTGAATATGTTTCCACTACACCCTTCTAGCAGAAGGTCCATGACTGAAGTCCATCGCGTAACTCTAATGGTCATATTTCCACTCCTTAACCCGGCTAGTGAACAAACATTTTCTCTTGAAACGGTCACTCTTGGTGAGAAATTAGAGGGAGTCCTCCTGCAGTTCTGTTGAAACCCACGGCGTTCTGCGGAAAAAGAGCAGCCCTTGACCGGAATCACCCCTATCATGGTTGTCTCCTGGGATGAGGCCAGTCTCCGAGCACGACTTTGCAATTCGGCGCGGAGCCTTCTGGCGCGGTGCAATGCACAAAATCACTTCCTAGCCTCATAATTTCCAGTATCTCTCTCCCGGGTAAACAAGCGCCGATTGTAACTGTCAGCCAAAAGACCGGGCGGAATCGGTAATACTACCTGCGACTTCGCAACAACTCGGCGTTGTTCGGGAGACCCCGGAAAGCAGCACGCCGCAATCCTCCCCCGGCTGCTAGCCTGAGTAATGGCACCATTCCGGCATTGAGGGGTGAGATCCGAAACGGCTCGCCGACGATGGCTGACACCGAGCTGAAGCCTCATGGCGCTTGGCCAGGCCTTTTCCGACCCGGAAACATGGAAAATGCCCAATGCAGCTTACAGTGGTGGTAAGCCGATATGTAGTGCTATTATGGTGTTTAATATATAACCGCTTGTGTCTTTGCGTGGTAGTGTAGTATGGTATTGTTGTACACCAGGGACATAGCCAACACAGCTATCTGGCACTCATTCGAGCTCTTACATGTCAGGAGCTTAACCTCTTGTCTGTATTCTTGCCGCCCACACCGTCTAGTCACTCTTTCTTACCTTTTTTTCAAAGACGTGACAGCAACTCACCCAAACCGCCATCATGAGCGCCGCAGACCAGGAGCCCATCGCCGTCATCGGCATGGCATGCCGCTTCCCAGGAGGCTCGAACTCTCCGTCGAAGCTGTGGGAGCTGCTCAAGGCGCCCCACGACATTGCCAAGCCCATCCCCGATGACCGTTTCGACTCGACAGGCTTCTTCCACAAGAACGGCTCGCACCACGGAGCCACCGACTGCCGCGAGGCGTATTTCCTCGATGAGGACGTCACGCGTTTCGACAATGCGTTTTTCAACGTCCAGCCGGGCGAGGCCGAGGCCCTCGATCCCCAGCAACGTTTCCTGATGGAGACCATCTACGATTCACTGTATGATGAGCCCAACCTACCTAACCCCTTGAGTCGGGATTCAAGACCATAGTTAGCTAACAAACCTCTCCCCACCTAGCTGCTCCGCCGGCCAAACCATCGAAGGTCTGCGCGGCTCTCGCGCGGCCGTGTACGTTGGTCTGATGTGCGACGACTGGTCGCAGATGAACGGCCGCGACTGGGACCTGGTGCCCACGTACGCGGCGACGGGCACGAGCCGCGCCGTCGTCTCCAACCGTGTCTCCTACTTTTTTGACTGGCACGGCCCCAGCATGACCATCGACACGGCCTGCTCCTCGTCGTTGGTTGCCGTCCACGAGGGCGTGAATGCCCTGCGTAGGGGCGAGTCCCCGATCGTGGTGGCTGCGGGCGCGAATATGATTCTGTCGCCTGGTGAGTTTCCTTACCTTGGCTTTGCCACGGCGTATCTTGGTTCTGCGAGGGGTGCAGTGCTGATACTGATGGGCTGCCTACAGGAATGATGATTGCCGAGAGCAACCTGCACATGTTGTCGCCTACTGGGCGGAGTAAGATGTGGGATGCCTCCGCCGACGGTTATGCCCGTGGTGAGGGTATTGCGGCGGTTGTGTTGAAGCCGCTGAGCGCTGCGCTGAGAGACGGAGATCCCATCAACTGCGTGATCCGTGGCACCGGTGGTATGTACACGCAGTTTCAGGTTTCCTATTATGTTCGTTATTCTTAGCATGACTGACTCGGACAATGTAGTCAACCAGGACGGCAGGACCCCCGGCTTGACGATGCCGAACAACGTCGCCCAGGCGGACCTCATCCGCGACACATACGAGCGCGCCGGGCTCAACATTCAGGACCCGAAGGATCGCCCGCAGTTCTTCCACGCCCACGGCACTGGTACGCCGGCGGGTGACCCGCAGGAGGCCGAGGCCATCTCGCGGGCATTTTATGAGGGAGGCAGCGTGAAGGATCCCCTCTTTGTAGGGTCGATCAAAACCGTCATCGGGTGCGTTGCTGTTACTGCTGCTCGTGTTAACAGGATGGATCATACTAACATAAACTCACCTCCAGTCACACCGAGGGTACCGCTGGTCTGGCCAGTCTAATCGGCACTGCTCTGGCCATGCAAAACAACACCATCCCTCCCAACCTTCACTTCAACACTCTGAGCCCCAGAGTGGCGGAGTTCTGCGACAACCTCCGCATCCCCACCAAGGCCCTGCCCTGGCCGACCCCGGTGGCCGGCCAGCCGCGCCGTGCCAGCGTCAACAGTTTCGGTAAGTCACCGTCCCCGGCTCAGCTGACACATAGACACCTTTGCTGACATCATCCATCGCAATAGGCTTTGGCGGCACTAACGCCCACGCCATCATCGAGAGCTACGAGGCCGCTCCCACCGAACAACGCACCGTGAGCACCAAAGTCCCCGCCTTCACGCCGCTCACCATCTCGGCCGCCTCGGCCTCCGCGCTCCGCACGACCCTCTCCGACCTCAGCGCGTACGTGCTCTCCCACCCCGACACCGACCTGCGCGACCTCGCCTACACGTTCCAACATCGGCGCTCGACGCTCGCGTTCCGCAAGGCCATCGCCACCGACAACCGCGACGCGCTGGTGGGCACCATCGACGCGCTGCTCAACGAGGGCGGCGCGGGCGACGGCGGCCTGACGGCGCGCTACTTCGACTCGCCCGACCCCAAGATCCTGGGCGTGTTCACGGGCCAGGGCGCGCAGTGGCCGCGCATGGGCGCCCTCCTCCTCGAGCAGTCGCCCTATGTTGGGGAGCTGCTGACCCAGCTTGATCAGGCGCTGGCCACGCTGCCCGAGGGTGATAGGCCCGACTGGACGCTGCGCGAGCAGATCCTGGCCGAGGCCGCGCAGTCGCGCCTGTCGGAGGCGGCGATTTCGCAGCCGTTGTGTACCGCGGTGCAGATTGCCTTGGTGGATTTGTTGGGCCTGGCGGGGATCAGGCTGCGTGGTGTGGTCGGCCACTCGTCGGGTGAGATTGCTGCGGCGTATGCGTCCGGGTACTTGTCGGCGACGGATGCAATCCGCGTGGCATACTACCGTGGCTTGTATGCCAAGTTGGCTGGTTCACCGGCAGGCCGCGGGTCTATGTTGGCGGTGGGCACCTCCTTTGAGGATGCGGTTGAATTCTGCGAGCTTGAGGAGTTCGAGGGCCGCATCAAGGTGGCCGCGCGCAACTCGTCCAACAGCGTGACGCTGTCTGGTGACGAGGATGCTATCGAGGAGGCCCTTGAGATCTACAAGGACGAAGGCCGGTTTGCCCGCCAGCTTCGCGTCGATACCGCGTACCACTCACACCACATGGAGCCGTGCGCGGTGCCGTACCGGGATGCGCTGACCCGGTGTGAGATCAAGGTAGGTGAGGGGAACGGCATCCCCTGGTACTCGAGTGTCATTGAGGGGCATGTCATGGCCCCGACCGATGTGTCGCCGCAATACTGGGTCGACAACATGACTAGCGCAGTCCTCTTCTCCCCCGCCGTGGCCCACGCCGTCGCCGAGGGTGGGCCATTCGACCTTGGTGTGGAAGTCGGTCCGCACCCAGCATTGAAGGGCCCTTGCCTCGACACCGTCGAGGAGGCGGCAGGCCACCGCATCCCCTACACGGGTCTGCTGGGCCGCAACAAGAACGATGTTGTGGAGCTGTCGTCCGCCCTTGGCTTCATTTGGACACAGCTGGGTGCCGCCTCGGTCGACTTCGACCGCCTCGAGAGGGCTATCTCGGGCAACCCGTACCCCAAGAAGGTGGTCGACGACTTGCCGACATATCCCTTCGACCACTCCCGTTCCTTCTACACGCTCACTCGTTTCTCGGGTGCCCACCGTAACATGCATGCCCCGCCTAACCCAATTCTCGGCCGGCGGTGCGTCGAGACGGAGACGGCCGACGAGGTCTCCTGGCGCAACATCCTCAAGTCCGGCGAGATCAGCTGGCTCCAGGGCCATCAACTTCAGGGACAGACCGTCTTCCCCGCCATGGGCTACATCGCCATGTGCGTCGAGGCCGCCGCGGTTCTCGCGGGCCCCGAACGCCCCCTCGGCCTGGTTACACTGGAGGACGTCATCATCGGCCGTGCGCTAGCCTTCCAAAACGAGAGCGTCGGCATGGAGTCCAAGGTTACAGTCAAGATCGACCACACCAGCGATGACGAGCTCCGCGGCCACATCGCCTGCCACTCCGGCCTGCCCTTCGACAGCGCGGCACCGCTCGCCCTCAACTTCAGCGCCACCCTCCACGTGCGCTTCCACGAGCCCCGCGCCGACACGCTCCCCGCCGTGCGCGCCGACGAGATCAGCCTCGTAAAGACCGACCCCGGCCGTCTCTACTCGCAGTTCACGCAGCTCGGCTACAACTACAGCCCGCCCTTCACAGGCGTCAAGGCGATCCAGCGCAAGCGGGGCTTCGCGACGGGCGACATCGAGGACATCTCGGGCGAGGGCTGGGAGGACCAGCTGATCGTGCACCCGGGCTGGCTCGACTCGGCTTTGCAGACCGCCTTCGCGGCGTACTCCTACCCGCATGATAACCGCCTCTGGGCGCTGCATGTTCCTACCGAGATCCGCACCGTGTCCATCAACCCTTATTTCACCGAGCGCGGAGCTGGTGGCCGGACAAGGCAGCTCCAGTACCAGTCGACCGCACGCGAGGGGCTGGGAGCGCCCGTGGCGGCCGATATCGATGTTTTTGCCGCTGGCGAGGAAGATGGCCATGCGTTCATCCAACTGGAGGCGGTGCAGGTCAAGCCGTTTGCTGCGGCCACCGCTCGCGACGATGCACTCCTGTTCGCGCGTTTCGACTACCGGTTGGCTAACCCGGATGCGATTGCAGCCGTTGAGGGCGACGACCTGCTGCCGCCCAAGACCGAAGCCGTGGTCGAGACCATCGAGCGCGTCGGCTTTTACTACCTCCGCCGCGTGCACGAGACGGTCACGCCGGCCGAGCGCGAGGCCCACACTGCCGCACTTCCGCCACCTTATCGATCTTTGCGGACGTGTGGTGCCCTTGGTTGCCGCCGGCGAACACCCGCATGTGCCGCGCGAGGCGATCAACGATTCGGCCTCGTACATCCGCTCCCTGATTGCCCGGTACCACGACCGCGCTGACATCCAGCTTCTCGAGGCGGTGGGTGAGAACCTGGTGGGCGAAATCCGGCGCAACGGTATCATGTTGGAGCACATGATGAAGGACGGCATCCTGGACCGTTTCTACGAGGAGCTCGCTGGCCTGGACGTGGCCAACGTCTGGATTGCCCGGATGGTCGCCCAGGTCGCCCATCGTCACCCACACCTCCGCATTCTTGAGATCGGTGCCGGCACTGGTGGTACCACACGTACCGTGCTCCCGATGCTGGGAGACGCTTTCCAGAGCTACACTTTCACCGATATCTCGGCGGGCTTTTTCGGAAGCGCCCAGGAACGATTCCGCACTTACGCCGACCGCATGGTGTTCGCCACCTACAACATGGAGCTGACCCCCGAGGAGCAGGGCTTCGAGGAGGGCACCTACGACGTCGTTCTTGCGTCCAACGTGCTGCACGCCACTGGTCGGCTGGACGACATGATGGCCAACACGCGCCGCCTGTTGCGACCGGGCGGTTACCTGATGATGCTGGAGTTCGTCAGCAACGACCGTACTGGTATCACCGCCTGCATGGGTGGTCTCCCCGGCTGGTGGGGTAACGGCATCGTCGACCCAGCCCGTGGCGACGGACCGTGCCTGACGCCCGCTCAGTGGGACGAGCTCGTGCGCCGTCACGGCTTCAGCGGTGTCGACACCCACTGCCCCGTCGAGAAGCACCTGCAGTGGTACACCGTCCACCTGTGCCAGGCCGTCGACGATCGTGTGCTGGCCCTCCGCAACCCGCTCGAATCCCTCGAGTCAGCGGCCACCCTCGCGCCGCCCCCCGCCGAGCTAGTCATTGTCGGCGGCACCACAGCGACTGTCTCCAAGCTCATCGACGAGGCCTCGACCCTGCTCGCCCCCCGCTACAACACCATCTCCCGCGTCGCAACCCTCGAAGAACTCGACCAGCGCGGTCTCCCCCTCGGCAGCTCAGTCCTCTCCCTCACCGAGCTCGACCACCAATTCTTCGAGCACCGCACGGCCGCCAAGCTCGAAGCCCTCAAGGCCCTCTGGCGCGCCGGCGGGAGCATCATCTGGGCCACCCGCGGGGTGCGCGACGCCTCGCCCTACTCGGCCATGATCCTGGGCCTGGCGCGCGTGGTGCGCTTCGAATACCCCAACATCAACCTCCAAATCCTGGACTTCGACAGGGCGCCCGACGCCGCCACGCTCGCGGCCGACCTGGTGCGCCTCGAGATGGGCCGGCACTGGAAGGAGGAGGGCGCCAACATCCTGTACAGCGTCGAGCCCGAGGCACACTACGAGAACGGCGCGCTGTTCATCCCGCGCATGTATCCCGACCGCGACGCCAACGCCCGCTACAACACCCAGCGCCGCACCGTCGCCCGCGAGGTCGACCCCCGCGAGACGAGCGTGGTGCTGGAGCCGGCGGGTCCCGTGGGGGGTGCGCTGGAGCTGTGCGCGCCCTCGCCGCTGCGCGTGGCGCCGGCAGCAAGGCCGGGTGCCGAGAAGACGGTGGAGGTTATTGTGGAGCAGTCGGTGCTGCATGCGGTCAAGGTTCCTGATGCTGGGTTCTTTTCGCTGTGTGCGGGCACGGATGCCGAGACCGGCCGGCCGCTGCTGGCGCTGGTGGACTCGCCGGTCGAGTCTCGCCTTCGTGTGCCGGTTGAGTGGACCGTGTCGCTCCGGGAGCCGCTGTCTCGTACCGGGGCTTTCTCCCTGGGAGATGTGGCAAGCCATCTTGTGGCTAGCGCCATCCTCGCTGGCGCTCCAGCCTTCGGCTCGCTCTTGATTCACGAGGCCGACGAGTCTCTGAAGGAGGCGTTCGGCCGGCAAGCCGCTGGGCACGGTGCCCATGTGGTGTTTACCACCGCAGACAAGGCGAAGGCGAGGGCCGGTGCTGACTGGGTCCTTGTTCACGAGAAGCTCCCCGGCCGTTTGGTTCAGAGGCTCCTCCCGCATGACATCTCGAGCTTCACTGACCTTTCCCACTCCGAGGGTTCGGCCAGTGCCCAGCTGATCGTCCACTCCCTTCCCGTGTATTCCCCCATCACCACCGTGAAAGACGTGATTCGGGCCCAGGCCGGCGCGTTCCCCGATGCCGCTCCCCAAGACGTCGGCGCCGCCCTCAAGGCAGCGTGGCAAGCGGCCAGCCGGAAGCGCAAGGGATCTGGCAACAAATCTCAGACCAGCGCGATCCCCGTCCTCCCGCTCCAGGATGTCAGCCGCGCTGGTGCCCGCCACGCACCTTTGACTGTGGTCGACTGGAACACCAACTCCGTATCGGTGGCCCTGCGGCCCATCGACGCCGGCACCATCTTCCGGTCCGACGGCACCTACTTCCTTGTCGGCCTGTCGGGTGAGGTCGGCCAGTCCCTCTGCCAGTGGATGGTCGCCCATGGAGCGCGCCACATTGTGCTCAGCAGTCGCCGGCCCAAGGTGCACCCGCGATACATCGAAGACCTTGCCGCACTCGGGGCTACGGTCCGGGTCATGGCGCTGGACATCACCAACCGCGAGGCTCTCCGCGCGTGCTACGATACC